GGAATGTTCAAGGAGCATTGAGTTCTGCGGGGGGACTGGAAGCGCATGATCACCGCATTGCTCTACTCACGCAAATGTTGCATGGACTAGGTGTTTCCATTGCCGTCCTTTCTGAACCGCGGTTTGCTGAAGGGATGCGGTGGCCTCTCTGGACGGGATTTCATTTCCATGGCTTGCGGACGCAGACACCTGGGTCTGTGGCCGTCTTAGTAGTAGCTGACTTGCAGAAAATTGTGCTTCCCATTTCAGATGTCGGTGATGCCAGGGCCGTCTGGTTGGAAGCTCGTGTCACTGAGGACAAGCCAGGCTTGTTGATTCTAGCAATGTATGGTCCCCCCTCAAACCACACTGACGCTGAGCGCATTGATTTCCTACAGCAAAGGCATAGTGAAATGCAGCTTTTGCAGGCGCGCGAGTGTTATCGCAATTGGGAAGTTATTGCTCTTGGAGACTTCAACCTTCATGACGGCTTGCTTTCTCACAAGGATAGATCTTTGGAGAAACCTGTTGATAGGGTCTTGAAGAATCTCTTCGTTGAGGCCGCTCCTTGGGGAATGAACCTTTTGCTGCGAGGGCCTTTTGATGGGCCTACTCATAAGTCAGGATCCACCATTGATTTAGTTTTTTCTTCTCCTAGAGTTTTGCCTGCTGTGCAGCAACTGGATCGCACAAGCCTCGATCTGCGCTCTGATCATAATGCACTTCTCGTCACGAACCTTGGGTTTGTCACTGTGTCAAAGAATTTCCTGGTTGGGAAATCACGCTGGTGCCCTCATGTTGAGGATTGGGACCGTGCTTTGTCATTGGTCTCTTCATCTCTTGCTTTTGTCATTCACTGGATCTCGGTCGTCCTTCACGACACCTTTATTCGCGATTCTGTGCTTAATGGGTCCCAACGTGCTCTTAGACAGGCTCTGGTCGACAGGGTCACATGGTGGAGAGCAGCACTTCTGGTTATGGCAGGCCACATGTCTGGCCTTGCTGTCACTAGTAGGGCAGATGGAGTTAGTGCCGGAACTGCAGAAAAACGGCAAATTGAGCAATTTCTGCTCAACTGGTTTGGTTGTCATTCCTGTGATGATCTGTCTAATTGGCAGGAAATTTCTGATTGCATTATCGGTTCCGAGGAGCATTCAAAAGTTCAGCGACTTCTGAAGCTTCAGCAGGAAAACCCAGCAAAGGCCCAGGCATTCTTGAGCAGTCTGTTGAAGCCCAGACTTCCGCTGCAGCTTGCCATTAGAGAAGATGGCACTGGAAAAATTTTATGTGATGCTGAGGTCCTGAACACATTGGATAGTAACATTCGCTCGCGACCCTTGGAGGCAGAGGCAGGTGATGAGGAATTCACCGCTGCAGTAAAGGAGCAGGTTCGCAAGTGTAGGATTGATGCTCAAAAAGAGGTGGGTGACGAACCGCATCTACATGTGTCACAAGATGAGCTTGACAACCACATCAACTCTGTTCTTCAAGCAAAGGCCTCGCTGCGATTCCCTCGCGCTGTGCTTCGATGTAACACAGCGTCAGTCAGACGACTTCATTGTTTGCTTTTAAACTTGTTTTTTGCCTTAGGGTTGGTCCCCAGCTGCTGGCTTAGAGAGATTTCGCCCGTCCGTAAGCGAGGACCTGCTGTAGTGAGTGATCTCAGCAATCTTCGACCGATCAGCTACACGGATGACCTCGAGACGTTGTTTGACCTCGTTTGGCTCTCACGGCAAAGGCAGGCACTTGAAACATATGCGGGCGCTGAGCAAGGTGGGGGTCGCGTTGATAGTTCACTTATTGCCTTAGGGCTGATTTTGGCCCTGCAGACCCGTTCTGCGTGGCGGCTTCCCTCGTTTCTTCTTAAGTCTGACCTTCTGCAAGGTTACGATTTAGCTTGGAAGGATGCTGTGTTACTACAGGCAAAGTGGGCTGGAGTCAAAGGCTCCTTTTGGCTTTGCCTCGACGCGTCCTTTGCGCATGACCAATGTAGGATCCGTTTAGGCCCCTTTTTGGGTAGTACCTTATTGCTCCTCGATGCTGGGCTGGGTCAGGGAGGCAGGCGCGCTGTGCATCTCTTCAACACTCTTACGCGAGGTCTCGCTGAGGAGGTTCTCAGTAGATGTGCTGGCGCAGCAATCGGAGCTAACCCTTTAATGGTTAGACCTTTCCTGGCCGCAACAGAGTTTGAGAGCACGCACGTTGCTTGCCGTCCTCCGCTTGTTGACAGAATCGCTCGCATGGCAATGGCATCCGTAGGTGCCTGTCTAGAAAATGAATTTGCAACAGCCATGTCTCCAAGAGCCAACCGAGTTGAAGCTTTGCTGACAATTGACACTGTCTCACCATTGACGCTCGCACTGGTTCAGTTCGTCGACGACGTTTTTTGCCTTCAGTCCACGTGTTGGGGACTAAAAAGGGCTTGTCAAAGCCTTGAAGACTTCGCGCGCTTGTGGCGGCATAAGTTTGCTTCTGGAAGAAAGGCCTCGACATTCTTGACGATTGGAACCACGGTGCCAGAAAGTTCCTCGCTTGCTCCTGTTGGAGGTTCTCTGCCTTGCCCTGTGGATCGTTTAGGGGTGTTAGGGGTTGTTGTCGATGCTGATTTGTCTTTCCTTCCCTTGCTTGAGAAAACCATCGGTGTCCTAGGTGCTGAAACCCAGTCTCTCATCAAGGCAATGCGTGACCTCTCTCTTAGCATTCCTCTGCAGCTTGACGAGTTGCAACATAGGGTTGAGGCTAAAGCATTGCACGGAGCAGAAGCCTTGGCCAGTGCTTCTTGTGGATGGCCTGAAGTTGCTCGAAGGATGAATGTGGCTCACTACAACTCCTTGAAGGCCGTACTTGGAGCTGAGCGCAGTTCCTTGGGAGCCGGGGCCCAGCACAGACTTTTGCTGACTTTGGGGGTTAGGCTTAGGTTAGGCACCAAACTGGCAATTCGCATAGGGACTGCCAGAGCCCGTCTTCTCTCGTTGCCGGTGGACAGCCCGGTGACGGCAGCCACACAAGGAGCTTTGAGTGTCACTGGTCGGCACTGGCTCACTGACGCACTGCTTGTTCTGGCATCAATTGGCCTTGACCAGACCCTTGGCGCTGATTGCTTCCTGCCTGTCCCAGGCTCTGACCCCCAAGCTGCGCGTCGGGCTGTCCTGAGGTGGAAGCGTGAGGTCTTGCTGCCTGCAGCTTACAGATATGAGCGCAACTGGTTTCAATCTCAGATATCCGCGCACGATGCTTGGCCTTGGACCTTGCCGCATTGGGACAAAAAGAATGCTCTGGATTTCTTGTCCAATCAGTGCTGGGGAAAGGCCATGTGGCGACATGCAAGGGCCTGGCTTCTTGCCCGCGCCAGCAATCTGCCGCCCTTTGCCGCACTTGGCAGAGCTGATCTAATGGGCACTGCGGCTTGTCCACTTTGTGGGAGCCATTGCTCGCTGGAGCATGTTCTGACCTGCGCTCTGGTCATTGAGATGGTGGGGCCTCCTCCGACATCGTGGCCTACCATCCTGGAGGCAGCTTCGGATGATGCGCCGGCCCGCATTAAGTGGGTTGGCCGTGCAATGGCTGCACTTGTGGCCAGTGTTTAAAAGTCCGCCCAGAGCTCAGTACTTGTTTGTAAGCTGCTGCTCCCGTCACTCCCGGCCCTCGTTGGCACAAGTGAGGGAACTGTGCTTGAGCTGCCTGCGGGCGCCCAAGATGACCCGCATTAGGGTCTCTACATTAACAGAGCCTAACAGAGCCTAAGGTTTAAGGTTTAGAAAGTTTAGGGTTTAGGGTTTAGGGTTTAGGGTTTATGCAAACAGTCACTCGGACGGTCTCGAAGCATCCACTTGGAGACTGAACTACAGAAAAAATTACTGATTGGTAGAATTAGCGATTCTGTCTGTGGAATCGCCTTGACATGGCAAAAGCCTGCAGTGGATCAGGGTACTCGAGCTTTAGGGTTTAGGGTTTAAGTCTTAGGGGTTCGATCCGTCTAGGCGGGTGATCATCATGTAGCATTTCTGCCGCACATGTCCTGCTCGGCGTGCCGCTCTCACACCGAGGTGCAAAGCTGCCAGATATTGCGGTGGCAAAGTTTGTGCGGCCGGGCCAGACGTTCGACAATTTGTTTGAAGCATCGCTGCTAGGGCGGAAATCAAAACGAGCCCTGCAACGCCAGCGTGTGGGCTGTTTTACTGTTGCCGCACATCGTGAACAGCATCGGCACGGAGTGCCCCGCCATGAGTGATGATGCAGCAGCCTCCATGCTTAAGTGCAGATGCTAGCCAGTTTCATGCATCATAGTCGGGCATGCTATGGTAAACCCAGTCCGAGGAGACGCCCCAGTAGCCATGCAGAAGCAAGTAGCATCATCTTCAGTGCTGAGTCTACTCACAGGGTGAGGGCGACCGCCAAGAAAACGGTTGAATGAGCGCTTCTTGCGGCCATGTGGGCTGAGCCGAGCGCCCGGCCTCTAAATGCCACGCTGGCCGCACTTCAGCCGTTTTTGCTGTGCAGGTTTGTCACTCAGCGCGCGCATGTCGCCTAAGTAGCCGTGCACCAGCCACTGAGGTCCCTGGCGCAGTACCTGCATTCCAGGTCCATGCTCCGCCATTCATCCCATTGGAACACCTACCCCCGCCCCCACCAGTCAGCCAGCCCTCAGCCTTCGGCACCCCGATCGCGTTCCCGCAGGTGACGATCCCCTTGCATGCGCACCCTGTGCACCCTGCGCAGCATGCCCATCTCCCACCGGGGCCTCCCCTCATACCGCCCCCTGCCATGATGGAGCCGCCCCCTCCGCCACCGCCTCCGGTCAGCGCCAGCTCCCAGGCCGCGCGTGCGCCGCTGACGGACGCCGAGGTGAAGGCCGCCGCCTCCGCTGCCCTGAGCAAGTTCATGAAGGAGATTCCTGACAAGGAGCCCCGGCGCAGCGGCAGCCGCAGCCGCCGGCGCAGCAAGAGCTCCAGCCGGCGGAGCCGGAGCAAGAAGCGCAGCTCCAGCCATCGCAGCCGCAGCAGGAGCCGGAGGCGGCGAAGCCGGGGGCGGAAGCGGAGCAAGTCTCGGCGGAAGCGGAGCCGCAGCCGGGAAAAGAGCCTTAGTAGCCCAGTGGTACCCTTGTTCCTGTTTGTTGGTTCAGGTTCCCTTCGAAATCACCAACATATTTGTAGAACCAGATATAAGAATATACTTAAAATAACCAACAGACTAGTATAACCAGATACAAGAATATACTCACATAACGCGGTTCCTGGGCTAACCCTAAACCCCAAAACCTAAAACCCTTCACCCTAAACCGCCACCAAGAAGCCGTAGCTCCCTGGTGGAGCCCCCGCCGGTACCTGGAGCTCCAGCCCCCGCTCCCAGCGCGAGCGGCGGCGCCCCTCCGGGCAGTGGGGACACTTGGGCTTAGGGGTTTAGGGTTTTGGGTTTAGGGTTTAGGGTTTAGGGCTCTTTAGCATGGGGGATTAGTGTTCGTAGGAAAGGCATAACTTAGTATAACATACTTCCCAGCAACAGCCCCTACATAATACAGGCGTGTTTACATGTGTATATATATATATATGTATGTATGTATAAATATAAATAAACAAATATATATATATATATAGAGAAAGCTTTGCACATGTGTATGTATGTATGTATGTATGTATGTATGTATGTATGTATGTATGTATGTATGTATGTATGTATGTATGTATGTATGTATGTATAGAGCACTTTCATGGGGTTCTATGTAGGGCGCCTCATCATCCCCAGTTCCACCCATCGAAGAGCCGAGGAGAAGAGGAGCAAGTGGGATGAGGCCAGCGCCCCGGCATGGATGCAGGCCTGCCTTGCTCCTAAACCCTAAACCCTAAACCCTAAACCCTAAACCCTAAACCCTAAACCCTAAACCCTAAACCCTAAACCCTAAACCCTAACAGTGGGTTGAGGGTTTAGGGTCTAGGGAGTTTAGGGAGCTTAGGGAGTTTAGGGAGTTTAATTTCTCGGGTTGATGGGTTAGGGAGTTTCGGGTTTAGGGAGTTTAGGGTTTTGGGGCTCCCTGCCTCCTATGCAGGTGTCAGTGCTTCCGTTAACCCTGCAGGACATGATGGAGGCCCTGAAATCCTCGGATGCCCCCAAAGCCGCCGCAGCGCCCCTGCCGCCCAAGCACAAGAATGACCCGGATCGGCCCAAGGGGCACAAGGCGCCACACTTGTTGAGGGTTTTGAGGGTTTAGGGGGTTTAGGGTTTAGAGGGTTTATAGGGTTTAGAGGGTTTTTAGGGTTTAGAGGGTTTAGAGGGTTTATGGGATTTGTAGGATTTATAGGGTTTATAGGGTTCAGGTTTTCTGGCTGAGGGCTTAGGGCCTAGAGCCTTCGCCAAAGTATCGGCCCAACAGAAAGGGGTATGAGCACAACGGCGGGCGGGTAATTACTTGGCACGCCCAAGACCCCTAGTTATAAACCCTGAAGCCGAAAAGCCCGCCGAACAGCCCTCGAAACCCTAAATCCTAAACCCTAAACCCTAAATCCTAAACCCTAAATCCTAAACCCTAAATCCTAAACCTTTCATAAACCAGATGAATTCTACCCGAAGCCGCAAGACAGAGCGCAACGAGCCCAGAGAGCATCTGAATTCAGGAGTATACCCTAACTCAGAATATTCAGCCAGCCGCTCAGTTATATTCCTTAGTTATGGGGTATTTGGTCATGGGTTTCCCTACCCCCCTCCATACTACCCCCCCTTACATAGTTAAGAGGCTTAGTTATCCCTAAACAGCCTTAATGAAGGGGGGAACCTTAGTATAGGGTGGGTTCGTAGGGGAACCACTAAACCCAAAACCCTAAACCCTAAACCCTAAACCCTAAACCCTAAACCCTAAACCCAAAAGCCCCATGACTTTGCCTCCCTGGGGAAGGTGATTGAGCTCCCGGCCCACCTCATCCGGGTCCTCATTGGCAAGGCCGGCTCCACCATCCGCGAGGTTTGCAGCCGCAGCGGATGCGACATCAAGGTGACGGGTTTGGGGCTTAGGGGGTTATAGGGTTTATAGGGTTTATAGGGTTTAGAGGGTTTAGAGGGTTTAGAGGGTTTAGAGGGTTTAGAGGGGTTATAGGGTTTATAGGGTTTATAGGGCCCCTTTAGCCGGATCTTGGGTCTGGGAGATGTGTGTGGGTTTAGGGTTTTGGCTTCAGGGGCTTGCTTTCAGGGCATCGGATCTCGTCTCGGATTCTTGAGAACGAGGATTAGAGGACTAGGGGGCAGGGCTTTGCGGGGCTTCTCGGAGCCGGGTGGGAAGCTCTTATCGTCGTAATGGTGCTTACGTAGGATCTTGCTTATTCTGGGTTTAGGGTTTAGGCTTTGGGGTTTTGGGGCTTCAGAAGGGCTCCAGGATGCTTCTGGAGTTTATAGGGGTTAGGATTGTTTTGCTTTCCGTGCTGTTCTCCTTGGGGTGCAAACCCGAAACCCGAAACCCTAAACCCTAAACCCTAAACCCTAATCCCTAATCCCTAATCCCTAAACCCTAAACCCTACCCTAAAGAGACAAGGTGAACCACTTGCCTCATGAACCTCAAGGCAGCATCTCGGTCGTGGGTGACATCGAGGCTTGGCGCAAGTCTCGGGGTTTAGGGTTTAGGGTTTAGGGTTTAGGGTTTAGGCTTTAGGGTTTAGGCTTTAGGGTTTAGGGTTTAGGGTTTAGGGCCTCTAACCCCTACTTGGAGGTTCAGGGTACTTAGTAGCCCAGTGTAAGTGTAGGCAGAAACCGCACGTAAGGCCCATGAGTACCCTAATGGGGTTCTGCTGATTGGGTTATAAGTACAGTTATAGTTGGTTAAGAAGTACCATGAACCTCCAAGTACTTGGTAGCCCACTGGTACCCTTCACACTTTTTCTTTTTGGTTCTGGGTTCCCTTACACAGTAACCCAAAACAAGGCTTCCTTGTCATAACACGGCTACTGGGCTACGAAGCCTAAAGTCTAAACAAGCGCATGCCTTCTCTCATCCATGTCTGTCCGAACTACTGACCGCTTTAGGAAAGTGCCAGAAGACACTGTATGTTATACAGAAGCAAGAACACGCTGTACATGCAATGTATTGTGTCTCGCTGCATGGCTATGCACTGCAGCCTACAGCACCCCAAAACCCGAAGTCCTAATCCCCAGTTCCCCGAAACCCTAAACCCTACAACCCCAGAACCCTAGAGCCCTAAACCCTAGAACCCCAAAGACCCTAAGCCCTAAACCCCTTACAACCCTGAAACCCTCAAGCCCTACAGCCCCGAAACAAGGGTTTAGAGTTTAGGGTTTAGGGTCGAATGAAGTGCCCAGGAGAGGGCCGAAGCCGTGATCCAGGACATCTTCCGAGCCAGGGGCTGCCAGCGGAGCTGCAAAAAACAGAAACGGGAGACGTTCAAAGGTTGTTTTTGGGGGGGTTTGGGTGTAGGGGTTTGGGGTTTACGGTTTAGGGTTTAGGGTTTGGGGCTTGGGGTTTAGGGTTTAGGCTTTCTTGGAAGGTCTTAAAAGGAATACCCCCCCCCCCCCCCCCCGCCTCCCCCTAGCAATGGAGAGACCCATCCCATTCACGCCAAGCCATTGAAACTCTGGTGAGCAAACCATATAAACCCCAACCCCTAAACCCTAAACCCTAAACCCTAAACCCCAACACCCTAAGCCCAGTCTGAGGCAAGTGGTCCCCCACCGGCGCTCCCCTAGCAGAGCAAAGTGAGGCGCGCCCGCTACGCACCGGGCTCAGGGTCGGAGGATGGTTTCGGGTGTAGGGTTTCGGGTTTAGGGTTTAGGGTTTCGGGTTTAGGCCCCGAAGTTCAAGATTGGGGTTTGGGGTTTAGGCTCAGAGCTTAGAGGTTCGAGGTTTCGGTTTAGGCCCCGAAGTTCAAGATTAATGGATGTTGGTCGATTTGGGTCTGGAGATGTATCCGCCGCGGCACTTGCAGTCCAGTTATTTTTCTTCCTGATGTGGGCACCCTGCGCCCTCCTGTGTATTGTTGGAGACAGGGGCTTTTTGACAAATTGGAATCTGCGGGGTTTCTGTATGGTAGTCATATCGATCGCATGGTGAACCCTAAATCCCAAATCGTACTTGAAGGTTCATGGGGTTAAAAGTTAGAAGTGCCCTAACCATAGTTACTCTCGTTGCAACCTTACTTTTAACTCATTTGTTTTACCCATGAACCTCCAAGCAGGGTTTAGAAAGTTCATGGCTTAGTTGGGCTTGGTGTTTTGAGTGCGCCCTAAACCCTAAACCCTAAACCCTAAACCCTAAACCCTAAACCCTAAACCCTAAACCCTAAACTTGCCCTCGCTTGCCCGTGCCCCTCCTGTGAAGTTAGTGCCAACGATTGAAACTCCAAACCCGAGCGCCGAACGAAGTGTCTGGGATTAGGAGCAGTTGGGCGGGGGGGGGGGGGGGGGGTTCCGGCGCTAAGCCCGACATCCTTACTTACTTACTTGTAGGTTCAGGGCACTTATATAACCCCAATTATGACTGTACTTATGGGCCTCCTGAGCCCTCTAAGCAGGTTAAATAAGTACCCATACAGGGTGGGGCCCCCTAGTTATAAGTAGAGTTATAACGGCCCTAAATTGGGTTATAAGGACGCTAAGTTAGGTTATAAGTCCCTTAACTACAGTTAGTATAGTAAGGGGGCCCCACCCCGTATGAACCTCGAAGTGGGAGCCTCACCAGGAGGACGTGAAGATTCCCGCAGATCTGGTGGGGCTCTTCATCGGGAAGGGCGGCGAAACCATCAAAGAACTGAGGGAGAGGCAGGGGTGGTTTAGGGTTTAGGGTTTAGGGTTTAGGGTTTAGGGTTTAGGGTTTAGGGTTCAGCAGCTCCGGATCGAGCAGTTTTTTGGTAAAGCTATATTTCCGGCTCTGATATAACACCCACCCACCCAGAGAATCCCATAACATTGAGACACGAAATCCCAGTATTCTCCAATCATCTCAGTTTCGAAGGCCTAAACGACACAACAAAAACACCTAATATTATTAACTTCATGTTCTTGCCATTGCATCTCTGTGTTAGCCTCCCCAGGCCCCAAACCCCAGGTTGAGGCCCTGAAACCCTAAATTCCATTTGAACCCCGAAACCCTAAACTGCAGGCTGTGAGGCCCAGAAACCCTAAATTCCAGGCCCTGAAACGCTAAACCCAGGCCTTGAGGCCCAGAAACCCTCAAGGCCTTGAGGCCCAGAAACCCTAAATTCCAGGCCTTGAAGCCCAGAAACCCTAAATTCCAGGCCTTGAGGCCCTGACCCAGGTCTTGAGGCCCAGAAACCCTAAATTCCAGGCCTTGAGGCCCAGAAACCCTCCAGGCCTTGAGGCCCTGAAACCTTAAACCCCAAAAGGCCCAGAAACCCTAAATTCAAGGCGCCCAGAAGCACTAAATTCCAGGCCTATGCCTTGAAGCCCAGAAACCCTAAATTCCAGGCCTTGAGGCCCTGTAACCCTACATTCCAGGCTTTGAGGCCCAGAAACCCTAAATTGCACGCCTTGAGGCCTTGAGACCAGAAACCCTACCTTGAAGCCCAGAAACCCGATAAATTCAAGGCCCAGAGCCTTGAGGCACAAAACCCTAAATTCCAGGCCTTGAGGCCCTGAAACCTTAAATTGCAGGCCTTGGGGCCCTGAAATCCTAAATTCCGCCCAGAAAACCTAAATTCCAGGCCTTGAGGCCCTGAAACCCTAAACCCCAGGCTTTGAGGCCCAGAAACCGAATATTAGGCCTTAAACGACGAATTTTGGCCTTAAAGCACGAGTTTTTGGCCTTGAACCACGAATTTCTGGCCTTAAACCACGAAGTCATCAAAGCTTAGATTTAAACTTTGATGACTTCGTGGTTTAAGGCCAAAAACTCGTGGTTCAAGGCCACTTGCCTTGAACCACGAATCGTTCGTGGCTCAAGGCCAAAAACTCGTGGTTCAAGGCCACTTGCCTTGAACCACGAGTTTTTTGGCCTGAAACCACGAATTTTTAGCCTTAAACCACGAATTTTTGGCCTTAAACCACGAACTTTTGGCCTTAAGCCACGAGTGTTCGTGGTTTAAGGCCAAAAAATCGTGGTTCAAGGCCAAATATTCGTGGTTTAAGTTTAACAACGACGACTTGCCTGCAACCACGAATGTTTGGCCTTGAACCACGAATTTTTGGCCTTGAACCACGAAGGTCATTAAAGTTTAAATTATTATATGGTAGAGAGGTTTAGGGTTTAGGGTTTAGGGTTTAGGGTTTAGGGTTTAGGGTTTAGGGTTTAGGGCTTCTGCAGCCTGGGTGTGACATGCGGGCAGTTCTCTCTCCAAATAACAGGCCTTTCCAAACCCAAAGCCGTGCCTTATGACTCCCGACCCTTTCTGCGTAGCAGGTTACCAAGCATCCTCCAAGGGACCTTGTAATCCTAACAGGGTTTAGGGTTTAAGTTTAACTTAGGGTTTAGGGTTTAGGGTTTAGGGTTTAGGGTTTAGGGCTTCTGCAGCCTGGGTGTGACATGCGGGCAGTTCTCTCTCCAAATAACAGGCCTTTCCAAACCCAAAGCCGTGCCTTATGACTCCCGAACCCTTTCTGCGTAGCAGGTTACCAAGCATCCTCCAAGGGACCTTGTAATCCTAACAGGGTTTAGGGTTTAAGTTTAACTTAGGGTTTAGGGTTTAGGGTTTAGGGTTTAGGGTTAGGGTTTGTTATTCTCAGCCTTCAGCCCTGCGCGGCAGTGGCCCAGTGGCTCCCTGCGCAGGTGCGGCGGACAGGTCTCGATCACCATCCAGCCACTGGGCTGCTCCTAAGGAAGGAACATCGGGTTTAGGGTTTAGGGTTTAGGGTTTAGGGTTTAGGGTTTAGGGTTTAGGTAGTGAATCATGGCCCCTTATTGGTCCCAATCTCCTACGGCACCCTTACGATAACCTAGTTTTGGAGAACTGCCCAAAGGAAGTTGAGGACTTCGGTTGTCATACGAATATGGATGCATCGCAGATAGTTTTCTAACTTTGGCTTTGGGTACCACATCCCCTAAACCCGAAACCCTGAACCCTGAACCCGAAACCCTGAACCCTAAACCCTAAACCCTAAACCCTAATCTAAGTTCCTTAGCAGCAAGCCAGGCCCTCTTCCACTCCGGGCGGCATGCAAGGCCTGGGACTCGGTCCTGTCGGTTCAGGGTTTAGGGTTTAGGGTTTAGGGTTTGGGGCTTGGGGTTTAGGGTTTGGGGTTTAGAGTTTGGGTTTTTTGGGTTTGGGGTTTGGGATTTGGGAGACTGAGGCGGACTTGGCGCTAGGCTTCTCTAAGGATAGATACATGGTCCCCTCATGTAGTCCGCTACCTTCCTGAAAGGTTCCGAACTATGGTCCCCAGGGTTTTCGAGGGTGTGGGGGTACATAGGGTTCGCCAATCAAGAGCCCCTATTCAGGGACTGCTTCAGTGATAGGGGTTTTGAGGTTTTGAGGTTTCGCACGTGCTGCACTTGCTTCAGGCTCCCTGCGAGCCCCTTCCCCCCCCCCCCCCCAAAAAAAAAAAAAAAAAAAACATGAGAAAAGTTTTCCGCCCCCTCAACTAGTAACTACTCAGTCCAATGCCCCTTTGAAACCCGTAAACCCCATGCGCTTGGAGCCCTTCCGCCTGAAGCTCAATCCCCCCAAAGCTCCCTAAACCCTAAACCCTAAACCCTAAACCCTAAACCCTAAGGAAACCAAACCTTTCAAAACGCCCCCTGAAACCGACCTTGTGTCGCCCAGGCGTCCGCGTGGTGGGTGACAACTGGAAGTTGGCGAAGGCCCTGGTCCGTGCAAAGATCGAAGACCCCCGCCAGTGAAGCTTGGGGTTTGGGACTTAGGGTTTAGGGTTCAGGGTTTAAGGCTTAGGGTTTAGGGTTTAGGGATTAGGGTTAGGGTTTGGGACTTAGGGTTTAGGGTTCGGGGGCTGCAGGGCCGTGCAACCCCCCCTTCACATAAACTGTTGCACCATCCTTTCAAACCATATGAATGATTTCCAAACCTAGCTAGCCTTGTGTTTGCAAGTGGGGGGTGGGGGGGGCTTTAGCCATGCACAGCTTGCCTCAAAGATTACTTCGCCGTCAATAGGCCTTCAGCACTGTGTGGAGCCTGTCCAAGCCCACCATGTCAGCACTGTGTTTGCTTTTTCAAGTTTGTTATGGTTTCCGCTTTAAAGTAACCAACCGCCAAAAAGGGTGCCCTTGTTGAAATATGGTTACTGGGCTACCAAGACAACAGTGCACCAGCAGACATTCCTCCACAACCGTAGGAGCCCTTTCCAAACATTCTTTCCCAACCCGTCGTGCGAGCCTTGTGTTCGCACATGGCTCTCCCAAGCACCCCGCGGTTTAGGGTTTAGGGTTTAGGGTTTAGGGTTTAGGGTTTAGGGTTTGCTTCAAAGACTACTTCGCCATCACTCAATAGCCGCTTCTTCACACTTCAGCATTCCATTCCAAGCCGACCATGTGGGCATTGTGTTTACCAAGGCTTCAGGCGTTAAGAGCTGCTTCACAGCGTTTCTTTTTTTCACATCCGGTGATCCTGCGCTCTAAGCCTTAAACCCTTACACCTGGGACCCAGGGTGGGCGTTGAGTCCTTTCTAGATTGGGTTTAGGGTTTAGGGGTTAGGGGTTGAGGGAGCCCCAATAGCTCAGGAGCTGACCATGTCCAAGGCGTTCAAGACCTCGGGGGGCACCGCGATGATGATGATGCAAAACTGGATGTATAGGGGCTTTCTGGAGACATTGCTGCGGGTGTTGATATAACACATCCCAAATGCCCAAAACCCTAAGCCCTGTGCCCTTACTCCCTGATTGCCTTACCAACCCCCATTCCCCCCCCCCCCCCCAAACCCTAAACCCTATACCCTCTCCCCCGCGGGGTTTTGGGGTTTGTGGGTTTGGGGGTTTCGGATTTTGGGGGTTTAGGGTTGAGGGTTTAGGGCTGAGGGTTCTCCTGCAACTTCTGGCTCTCACTGCTTGCAGCTTTGGCTCGATGGAGCAATGCGTCCCTGGACCCCTTGGAAACAAGTCAAAGCACACATTTAGGGTTTAGGGTTTAGGGTTTAGGGTTTAGGGCTTAAAGTTTAGGGCTTAGGTGCCACACGCGCCTCAGAAGCCAGAGCTGCAAGAGCAACAACACAGGTTAAGCACAGGGTTTCATTGGCTCTTGTTTGCAGGTCTCAACTGGTGTTTGAGAGGGCGCGATGGACCCGAACCCTATGTAAACCCTAAACCCTAAACCCTAAACCCCAAACCCTATGTTGACTGCAAGCTTTCGCTGGGCCTCTGCAACCTATCACCCAAGCCCCACTTCCCTCCCCCAGAAATTTCGGATTTAGGGTTTAGGGTTTAGGGTTTAGGGTTTAGGGCTCCACCTGCACCCCACAGCTGCACATGACCACAGTCGGATCTTCCAGGCGCGGAAGCCCAAACCCTCCAAGCCCTCTCAAACCCTAGAAATTCTCGGGTTTAGGGTTTAGGGTTTAGGGTTTAGGGTTTAGGGTTTAGGGTTTAGGGTTCAAAGCCTGCCAACCCCTAAGCACCCTTAGACTTACAGTGTGATGGGCGTTTAGAGCCCCAACACCCAATCGTGTTCTGGGGGACATTCGGAGGGATTGACTGGGCCGCAGGGGCGATGGAAAGCCCAGATGTGAACCACGTATTTTATCCCTAAACCCTAAACCCTTAACCCTATACTGCTCTATCATGTGCTCTGCCTAAGCCAAAAGGAACCAGGGAGGTTGGAGTTTAGAGTTTAGGATTTAGGGGGTTTAGGGGATGTTACGCGGTATAGGGGATTTAGGGGGGTTTAGGGAGATGTTTTTAGGGGGTTTAGGGAGTGTAGGGCGGGGGTTGAGGGCGCGTAAGGGATTTAGGGGGTTCAGGGGTTTTAGGGGTTTAGGTTTAGGGTTTAGGGACCGCATGTCATAGGATGCGCCACTCGACGCCAGAGCCCTTGCTCCTTTGTGCTCTTGGGTTCTGTTGACCGGAGGTTGTGCGCATGCAGACACTCCTTAAGCCCCAGGGCCTAGAAGCCCAGAAGCATGAAACTTACAACCCCAAACCCTAAACCTTCAACCCTCAACCCTCAACCCTCAACCCTAAACCCTAAACCCTAAACCCTAAACCCTAAACCCTAAACCCTAAACCCTAAACCCTAACCCAGCCTCATGCCTAAACCCTAAACATCCACCGCGCCGAAAAGTCGCAGGATCCCCCGCAGGAGAATCCCCAGGGTGGAGGGTTGAGGGTTCTAAGCTTTTGAACCCTTGCAAGAGCAAGTTTAGGGTTTAGGGTTTAGGGTTTAGGGTTTAGGGTTTAGGGTTTAGGGTTTAGGGTTTAGGGTTTAGGGTTCCCCCCCCCCACCCAACAATAGTACCACCATTTTGGGGAACCCTCCCGCCCCTTTGATTTGGGGATCCGAGGGCTCTGTGCAGATCATCAGGCCCCATTGATCTGGAGTATCTGTCCCGAAGCACATAAAGCCTAAGCCCCGAAAACCCCAAACCCCTACACCCCTAAACCCCAACACCCCTGGACCCCCTAAACCCCTAACCTAAACCCCCTCAACCCCTAACCCTAAACCCCTAAACCCTAAAACCCCTCAAGAACCCTAAACCCCTAACCCTAAACCCCTAAACCCCAAAACCCCTTAAAACCCTAAACCCTAAACCCTAAACCCTAAACCCTAAACCCCCCTTAAAACCCTAAACCCGAGCCCTTGAAAAATCACCCTCAGAAAATGCAGGCCATCGTGGATGCGGCCATGGCTTCCCAACGTGTCAAGTCCGGGCCTTAAGGGTTTGTGAAGTTTTTGGGGGTTCAGGGGTTTAGGGTTTAGGGTACCCTAAACCCTAAACCCTAAACCCTAAACCCTAAACCCTAAACCCTAAACCCTAAACCCTAAACCTCTTTGCCGCGGTAAGGTCCGTCTGCCCCCAGCAGCGCCCGGAAGGCCCCGCAGGAGAAGCCGGACTGCCTGGAGGAGCCATCTTCTGCACCGTGTTTCGGGTTTAGGGTTTGGCGTGAGGGTTTAGGGTTTAGGGCTAGGGTTTAGGGTTTAGGGTTTAGGGTTTAGGGTTTAGGGTTTAGGGTTTAGGGTTTAGGGTTTAGGGTTTAGGGTTTAGGGTTTAGGGTTTAGGGTTTAGGGTTTTAGTGTTTAGGGTTTAGGGTTTAGGGTTTAGGGTTTAGGGTTTAGGGTTTAGGGTTTAGGGTTTAGGGTTTAGGGTTTAGGGTTTAGGGTTTAGGGTTTAGGGTTTAGGGTTTAGGGTTTAGGGTTTAGGGTTTAGGGCTAGGGTTTAGGGTTGAGGGTTTAGGGTTGAGGGACTAGGGCTTGTAAGGGTTTAAGCTGAAGGTTTAACTAGGGCTTTTGGGTTTTTTCTTACGATCGGGTCGAACTTGGTAGGCACTGAGCGTCTATAGGGATTTGTAGGCATTTCTATGACCTGGAGTAGGCCCTTTGTTCCTTGTTGTAGGGTTGGGGTTCCCTTAAAAAACCCCCTTACAACCAAAAGGGGGTACCCTTTTTTTTCCGAGGTTACTCCCGGGTCGAGTTTTGCATGGGGCTGAGTGAGCTACATATGGTTGGGCAAGGTTTTTTATGGGGTTTGCGAGGTCTACGGTCGACGTCCTGCCCTTCAGCTCGGGTTCAGGGGTTTTGGGTTTAGGGTTCTGGGCTTAAGGTGTCAAGAGGAGGCGGGCTCCTGTCACCCGGAAAGCAGGGGAAGGAGCTTAAACCCCACAAGGCCTAAAACCACTAAACCCTATATGCCCAATCAACCCTATAATTAAAGCCTGTGACCCTAGAAGCCGTAAATGCCTCAAATGCTTAAAGGGCCATATTATGGCCCCCCAAAGCCCTACACCCCCTAAACCTTGTAAACTCTACGCTTAATGGACTCTACAAGGAATCTAAACCTGATAAACCCTATCAGCCCCGTAGCCCGAAAAGCCCTGAAGCCCCTACAGACCCTGCAAACCCTTTGCACCTTTCAAGCCCCAAGCAGCCGTTAAGACTCACTTGCTTTAGGGTTTTGGGTTTTGGGTTTAGGGTTTAGGGTTTAGGGTTTAGGGTTTCCCAAAAGCCCTAAAACCCCTAAGAAACCAAAAAGCCCAACGAAAACCCGAACAAAGAACCCTTAAGAAGCCTTAAAGCCCAAAAAGCACCACAAGCCCGCAGAGCCGATGTTTTCTTGAGTCCTCGTCCCGGGGGTAGGGGGGGGGGGGAACCCTAAACCCTAAACCCTAAACCCTAAACCCTAAACCCTAAACCCTGAACCCTGAACCCTAAACCCTAAACCCTAAACCCTAAGCCCTATTTCGAGGATCTCCTGCGCCGGCCCACGCGGCTCCAGGAACTCCGCGGATTTGCACCGAATACCGGCGCCCTGGGGCCCTTTTTCTCTCATGTTCATACAGTGTAAGGTTTTTAGGGTTTAGGGTTTAGGGTTTAGGGTTTAGGGTTTAGGTTTATAGGGTTTAGGGTTGCACCCTTTATTCGTGGAGAGTGGTCTTGAAGTGAAGAAGCCAAGCTGAAGGTGCCTGTGCTACAAGTCGAGTGCTGTGCTATCCAATCCGTCAGCATGTGCCGAGCCCCTCTCTTAACGCATCCAGTTTCATCGTGTGCCGACGCCGATGCTCAAGTGACCTCGGAGAGTCTGGACCATCTTCGTCTTGTGCCCCCAGCCATGGGTGGGTTTTGTGCCATGTACAGTGTGCTCCCCGCCTTGCACCTGGCACGATGGCATTTTGTGGGTTCAGTTAGCTTTTTCTAGGGATGCGAAGTCATGCAACCTCTGGTTGCACCTCAGCACGCATGGATATGGATAAGGGGCCTTGGCTCTGGCCGCCGGCGCGCTTTGGCATCCGACTTGCTTCTTCCAGGATGAGGGCCACTCCTTCAATATGAATTCAATGTACAGGTGTCTGGCTGAGGCTCTCTCTCGGGATGCCGGAAACCTTGACTTCAGCCAACATGGTGGCTTTGTGGTTCAAGCCCGGAGGCAGGGCTCGAGTTTTGCTTCCTGGGAGGTGGGACCTACATGGGCTGTGCCCCCCCATGTTTGCTGACTAGCATGTTTCCCTGGGCTTTGATGTTGCTCTTAGCTCCTCGGCCAGGAGGGTTACAACTTGAATTCTGCGCAGGCAGTTTCTCGCCACGCCGCGCTCTGCATGTTGTTTCTTTGTGGTCCAGACGCTGGTGCAATTCTACATTCGGCCTTCGATGAAGGTCCAGTGCTGGGGTGGTGGGTCTCTTGGATGTGCAATGTGTCAGCAGGCAGACTGGCCACGAGTGTTTTTCATGCAAGACTTATAATCTGCCCAGCAGCCAGACACAGGCGAGTCGTTCAGGAAAATGGAGCGTGGCTCTCTGGGGAGGGTTGTTGCGCATGCCCCGGCAGCAAATGCAACTCATCCTATGGTCACTGTAAAGCATTGCGAGAAAACGCATGAACGAATGCACCCTTTATTCGCGAAGAGTGGTCTTGAAGTGAAGAAGCCAAGCTGAAGGCGCCTGTGCTACAAGTCGAGTGCTGTGCTCTCCAATCCGTCAGCATGTGCCGAGCCCCTCTCTTAACGCATCCAGTTTCATCGTGTGCCGACGCCGATGCTCACGTGACCTCGGAGAGTCTGGACCATCTTCGTCTTGTGCCCGCCTTCCCGCCCTAATGGTTCATAAGGTCTAAGGTTTATAGGGTTTAGGGTTTAGGGTTTAGGGTGGGTCTCACAATGATGGTCCCTTTTTGGATCCCTATGATAATTCGGCACCTAACATGTAGGGCACCCCGAAAGGGATAGCATTTTGACAGCCAGTAAGGGTAGTACAGGGATAATTATTCTTTGTTTTTTGGAGGTTCTTAAACAAATAGTAGGTTTTTGTTTGCAAAGGGAGAGTGCGGGGGGTTTAGGTGATTGTTGAGGGTCAGGTAGGGTTTAGAGGCTAGGGTTTAGGTCTCGAGGGTTTCGACGTGGAGGGTTTAGAGGGTTTGCAGGGGTCTGGGGTTTCAGTTGTCTCGCAAGTTGTTCGAGTCTTAGGGTTTCCGGGATATACGGTTCCCCCAACTTCACGCTTCAAGGCTCAAGTTGATTGGGCTTAATTCGGGTTCAGGGAGTTGAGGGAAGTTAGTTGACTAAGTAACTAGAACAGGGTTTGTTGTGGGGGGCCCTCCTAACCCCCAGCAGAGGGTAGCCCTAAACCCTAAACCCTAAACCCTAAACCCTAAACCCTAAACCCTAAACCCTAAACCCTAAACCCTAAACCGCTGATATGGTTGCAGGGACCAGGCTAGCAACCTCTTGGGGTTCGGAGTGCAGCACCCCGGCCATCCTACAGGAGGGTTTCTGTTGAGGCTCTTTTGGGCTCTGGGCTCCCGAAACCCTAAACCCTAAACCCTAAACCATAAACCCTAAACCCTAAACCCTATCTCTTTCATCGAACTGAGTCCCCAGTCTCACAACAAATGCCCAGGAAAGATCGAGATTTTCGACGTAGCCACAACCCTACCTGGAGAGTAGGCTAGGATACAAAAGGTAAGATCAGGCTGCAGTGAAGAGTCTAGGACTCTACGGGAACCCCGAAAGCCCTCCCTATACACCTGAAACACAAAAGGCCTAAATCCCCCAAAACCCGAACCCTAGGGTACCCTAAACCCTAAACCCCAAACCCCAAACCCCAAAACCCTAAACCCTAAACCCTAAACCCTAAACCCTAAACCCTAAACCCCAAACCCCAAACCCCAAACCCCAAAACCCGAACCCTATACAAAGCCCGAAACCCCACCCGCACCCCGGTGGAGGTGCCGAGGATGGTTCCCAATCAGCGACTTTGCTCGCAAAAAGTGGGACCTGCCCACAAGACAAGCCCATGTATGGTTTCGGGATTTGGGTTTTTGGGGTTTTTTGGGGGTTTTTGGGGTTTAGGGTTTAGGGCTTGAGCGATTTAAGGGATCTATCCGTTTTTTTTGGGGGGCTCAGGCCGGTAAACCTCCACTGTCACAGTGGTGCGCTTGATTGTGTCACGGGAAAGGCTCGCAAAAGCCTGGTCGGCGACCCGCTCGCGCGCTTGTTTCGCAGGCTGGGGGGTTCAACCCGAATTTATTGTTTGTCCATAGTAGCGGAACTTGAATTTCACACTTGTTGCGGTACCTCAACTTTGTAAAATGGTCACGTGTGGCCTTTTTATTCCATGGCTGTCCGGGACGTGGACTGCCAGGGACATGAAGTGGGATCCGCTAGTTCTCGGCTGTGCTAGTGGGCACGGCACGATGTGCGACGTGATGGCTTGTTGCGTTGCGTCAGTTCTCGCTGGAGACTTGCTAGAGGGTTGTTGTCTGAAGGGCTGTCAGCCCCAGCATTGACCAACCCTAAACCCTAAACCCTAAACCCTAAACCCTAAACCCTAAACACTTGTTTCCCCACCCACCCACCCCTGATTTTGTCAGCGGCAGCTGATGCTGTTTGTCAGCCCTCGAGCTGCTGTTCAAGTTTGTGACATGAGAGATGGCGACGGTTTTGCACTGGACTTCTCACGTCTTTTGATTCGGGTGTGAAGTCCTAAACCCTAAACCCTAAACCCTAAACCCTAAACCCTACAACTTGATTTGTCCCCACGTGGGTCAGCATGGAGATGGTCCAACCCCAAAGCCTTCTCCCAGTCCGTTGCGCCCCAAAACCCTCAAAATTATTTTACTTCGAACATCCCCACCCCTCTTGGTAGAGATACTCTAGGGTTGGGCACTCCAGGGACACACTGGGGCTGGGCACTCCGGGGACATCTGGGGTTGGGCACGAGACTCTGTGGGGTTGGGCACTCCAGGGAGACTCTGCGGCTGGGCACTCTGGGGTTGGGCACTCCAGGGAGACTCTGAGGTTGGGCACTCCAGGGAGATTGGGGTTGGGGCACTCCGCGAACACTCTGGCGTTGGGCACTCCAGGGAGACTTTGACTCTGGGGCTGGGCACTCCAGGGACACTCTAGAGTTGGGCACTCCAGGGACAGTTGGGGTGCACTCCAGGGATGAGTGAGGAGCAGACCGGGCGAGGAGAAGAGTTCCGGGTGAGGAGAAGAGTTCCGGGCGAGGAGAACAGTTGAGTTTAAAATCTAACAACCCACACCGAGGGTGGGGAAAAAGAAGCGAGGTGAGCCCTTGGGACAGCTTGTATTCGGTGTTTAGGGTTGGGGGTTTAGGGTTTATAGAGAGGTTTAAGGTTTAGGGTTTAGGGTTTAGGGTTTACAAGGATCATATTTGCAGGAACATCTTTCACAGGGTTTCTCCGGGGGCCAACCTCAGAAGAGTCCCATGAAGAGTTGTCGAGCCAGATCCACCATCAACATGACCACTGCATCCCCGCGACCGGCGGCAGGCAGACCCGCTGCAAGCTAGTGGGGGCGCGGGGGGGGGGGGGGGGGGGGGGGGGGGGGGGGGGGGGGGGGGGGGGGGGGGGGGAAGGTTTAGGGTTTGGGGGTTTAGGGTCCTCAAGCCCTAAACCCTAAGACTAGTTTCGGGCATGGGGCTTAAGGGGATATGAAGCAGGGTTTCTAATCCTGTTTATGGTGAGTGTATATAAGGTTCCTTTTTAGCATGAGTGTGTACGTTGGGTGTCCTTTTGGGGGTACAAGAAATATAAACCCTACTTCAATATCGGGCCCATGAAGTCTTCAAAACACAGGGCCGGAGGCTGACTTCAACCAAAGTCCCGGAGTGCGAAGCCCTAAAACCGCCGTTTTGCTAGGGTTTGGGCTTCAGGGTTTGGGGTCTCGAACCACACTAAACACAACAAACAACTCTTGATTGTTGGGAAGTCCCAGGACCTGGAAGGCACCACAAAAGAACCGCGAAAGCACACCCATGCAAAGCCGGCAATGACTCTTGAACCGTCAAACCGATACCCTACAGAGCCCTTAACGCCCTGAAACCTGAGGCTTGTCAACCGTATTATGAATAGGGTTTGGGGTTTAGGGTTTAGGGTTTAGGGCTTAGGGTTTAGGGTTGAGGGTTGAGGGTTGAGGGTTAGCCTTAGAAACCCTTGAGGAAGCCTTGCACCGCCGGCGCCGTCAGCAGCGCTGCTGGCCGCAGCAGCCGCCAGCGTGCGCGCGAAGCCCAAGGCGCAGCTCCTGCTTAGGGTTTTAGGGGTTTAGGGTTCAGGGTTTCGGGTTTAGGGGTTTAGGGGTTTAGGCTTTAGGCTTTGGGGTTTAGGGTTTAGGGTTTGGTGGCTCTTGGTATCTGTGGGGCGAAGAAGATGTTTGTAGTGGGTTTGGGTGAAGGGTTCTGGGTTTAGAGTAACCCCCTTGAGCCCCCTTGCCCAAAGAAAGCCAAGGAAGGCTGAACTAGGCGCCACATCCGCTCTGCACAGTGTAGGGACATGCCTTCTGAGTGCGCCCATCTCTCAGTCATGCTGCCTCTACACAAAAAAAGAGACCCGAAAGACCCTCAAAAAATGCAACAACACCCAGGCCACTGAACTAACCCTTCCTACCCTAAGCCCTGAGCCCTCTGAAGCCGAAACCCTAAGTAAGTCCTCAACCCAACCTAAACCCACCTGAACCCGCTGAGCACTTTGTTGATGCGCCAGCCCACAAGAATCCAACTGAGACTCGAACCTAAA